ATGTAGATTTTATTTCTTCATATTTTCAATCAGGGCTAGCCTTCACTAGTGGAATGTGACAGAGTAACATGGATCCTAGTCCCTGAGAGGTCCACCCTTTCTTCTCTGGCCATCTTGGCATACTCCAGCTATTATGTAATGATCTCCAGGCTGTTTGCTGAGTGGTCGGAGATTGTGATAAGATGGCTCTAACCAGCAGCCAGCAACATGTGAGTGATGCCATCATACTTTTCAGCCATAGACTACAGCCACAAGAATGACCCCAGACAACACTAGAGCAGGAGCCTCCTAGCTGAGTGCAGGCAACCCATAGACTCACGTGGAAACACCATCAATACCGTCATCATCATCATTGTGTTAAGCTACTAAATGAGCATAAAAACAATCCTTTTGGGGGGAGAACAGTATTGAGATTAAGCTCAGTTTGTCATACTTATTAGATGTCTACCCCTTAGTCACATCTCTAGCTCACAAATGGGTGTTACTTTGACTTCTCTTATGAGAATTAACTAAGATGTTACAGACTTATAGTTGGTGCTTTTCCCCTCTCTTCTTAATATTTCCTTATTAATAGTGTACCTAAATACCACAGGCTAGTATGGTATTTAAGGGGATGGAGATGGGCACTTTTTTTTTTTTTTCTGGTTCAGGGGTTTGAACTCTTTGCCTAGGTGCTTTCCTTAAGTTTTTGTGCTCAACGCTAGCACTCTACCACTTGAGCCCCATCTCTCCTATCAGACTTTGTGGTTAGTTAGTCTTATGGACTTTCTTGTCCAATCTGGTTTTGAACTGTTATCCTCAGGTCTTAGCCTTCTGAGTAGCTAGTATTACAGGCTTGGAGATAGGGTGAAGAAAACACATGTAGTACTTGTTATATAACTAATCCCCTCCCCCCCCCCCCACATAGGTTACATAAGAATGACAATACTTTTAGGGAGGGACATTTGAGAGAGTAGGTGGGAGGCAGACCTTGTACTCTTGCACCTGGAAGATTTGGAACCACATGTAATTAATATTCCCTGAATACTTTCAAAAGCAGAGTTCAAGAAAATACTCAAAACCATGGGAAAACATACAAAAACAATAGTTCAATAAAAATAAGTTTAAGAGAAGATGGTCAGCTACTTACTTTTTCTTACAAAATCAAAAACTCTTCTTAGTGTCTAAGGCTTCCAGTCTCTTTGATTTTATGGGTTTTGTACATAGAGCTTTTGTGATCTTTTGCTTTTGCTAAGCCTTTATTATATAATTACCTTTCAGAAGCACCATCTTATTTGTTAACTCCCCCCCACTTCCCTCTTCCTCCTCCTCTCCCTTCCCCTCTCCCCCCTCCAATACTGCAGCTTAGCTTTTTTCACTCAAGGCTGGCACTCTTCCATTGATAATTGAACATAAGAGCCTAGTGAACTTTCTTGCCCAGGCTAGCTTTAAACCTAATCCCAAAATCTCAGCCTCCTGAGTAGCTAGGATTATAGGTGTGAGCCACCAGTGCCTGGCTTATTTGTTAAAACTCTTACACAATTCTAGTTGAAGAAGAGGTTTTCTTTTTCTTTCCCCTCCCCCTTTCTCTTTTGTGCTGGGACTTGAACCCACAGCCTCCTACATATTAGGTAATCTTTTTATTACTGAACTATATTCAGGGACTGACGGGAGATTTTCTTATGAATGAGGTCTTTCTCAGTGTTTATTTAAGGAATATGGAGATTTTGTTGTTGCTTTCTAGCTAAGCATGAAGTCTGACCTCCTTTCTCAGTTAGAACAGAAGTAGGCCAGATTTCTAATAAGGGTTTGAGGAGGTTGCATGCTTACAAAACTACTTACTCTTAGTTTTCTTGAGTTTCTTCATCTATAAATGCTATGAACCTACTTCCACACAGTGTCTTGGTCTTTAGGGCAAAATATCAAAAGGCCATGATGATGGTCCTGGTCATTCTCCTTTAGAACTCCCTGGAAAGTGGACAATAACAGAGGAACCTTTATAGAACAACAGCCCTGTCTCAAAAAGGGGGAGGGGAAGTCTACACACTTATTTTATGGAGTTTGTTGATAAACTAGAAGCAGTATATATAAATTACCTAGCATAAAATCTAACATCTCATCTAGAGGCCTTAAAATGGCGTTGTTATCATAATTGGATAATATCTGTTGATTTTTATACCAAAAGGCCTAAAGGAGTAAAAGATTTAGAGGTATTAAAATATGATTCTTTCCATAGTGGCTGAAAGTTATCAAAATAACAAAAATCATTATACTGTTTAAAACAATAACGAAATATTATGTCTCATAATTCTGTGATTTGGGTAATTTGCTTGCTTGTGTGTGTGTGTGTGTGTGTGTGTGTGTGTGTGTGTGTGTGTGTGTATTAAGGCTTGAACTCAGGCACATACACTCACACACACAATCTAGGTTGGCGCCCCTCCTTTGCTTCTGTGTTTTGGTTAATTTGGAGATGAGGCTTGTGGGTTAGTCTACTGTAGCTGGCTTCGAACCTTGATCATCAGATCTGTGTCCTGAGTAGCTAGGATTATAGGCATGAGCTACCAACATCTAGTTTATCTGCTTGCTTTTTAGACTTTCACTTACACAGCTATTGTTAGACGGTGGTCATGATGTTGGCTGTAGGTTGGAGCCTGTTGGTTCCTTCAACGTGACTTTTCATGTTTAAGTTCTAGACCAGCTTCTTTACAACATGGTAGCCCTAGGGTGACATTGTAAGAGAACCAGCCCTCGAGATTACAAGTCAAGTTTCTGCTTACTTCCCAGGGGAAGTCCAAAGTCTCTTAGAAGAGACAGAATTAATCTGGCCAAGGAGGAGTAGCAGAGAATTTGTGGCCATTTTTTTAATATACTATAAACCTGATGCCTATTGATTTTTTTTTTTTTCAGTTTTCCCATGTCATTGATACCATCCAGTATAAGAAAGGAAGAGTAATAATTTCTTATTAAAAATACTTTTGGGTATGTGTCCATGTGTGTATGTGTGTATATATATGTGTTGTGTGTTGTGTATTGTGTGTACATACATACTGGGCATACTGGGGCTTGAACTCAGAGCCTGGGTGTTGTTCTTTAGTTTGTTTGCTCAAGGCTGGTGCTCTACTATTTGAGCCACACATCTACTTCTGAACTACTGGTGATCAATTGGAGAAAAATATCTCATGGATGTTTCCTCCCTGGGCTGGCTTTGAACCTTGATCCTCAGTTCTCAACTTTTTGAGTAGCTAGGGTTACAGGCATAAACCACCAGTACCCAGCTGAAAATTGCTTTGTGCAGATTTTCTTTCTGGCCTACTTGTTGCCTGAGTGTGGAAATGATCAGAAAGCAGATAGCTCTTTAGTTTGAGGAAGGATTGCTCTGTGAGATTATGAGTCTTGTTGAATGCCTTCCTTCCCTCCCCAGGCCCCCAGCATGGATTTAAGACCATTCAATAAAAAATGAGTAGTCATTTGCTGGGGCTTTGAAGAAGGGTGCTTCTTGGGGCTGGGAAGGTGGCTCAGTGGTAGAGCGCTTGCCTTGCATGCATGAGGCCCTGGGTTCGATTCCTCAGCACCACATAAGCAAAAAGAAAAAAGCCGGAAGTGGCGCTGTGGCTCAAGTGGTAGAGTGCTAGCCTTGAGCTGAAGAGCTGAAGGACAGCGCCCAGGCCCAGAGTTCAGGCCCCACGACCGGACTGGAAAAAAAAAAAAAAAGAAGGGTGCTTCTTGTTGTGTGACTTGATTTACGTGATTCTTATTTGTATCAAAAAAGATGATTCTAAGCCAAGTGAGATAGTGTGTCCTTATAATCCTTGCATTTCAGAGGCTGAGGCAGAAGGACTGGGAATCAAGGCCAATGTGACTTTCGTAGCAAGATCCTCTCTAAAGTCGGTGATTCTATAATTTGGAAGACTAGCATCTTCTTTATGTTGAAATTAGTGATGGGCTGGGACTAGGAAAGAGGAGAATGACAATATTCATACTAGAAAAGTTACATTGCATAAAAATTTATACTTATTTGACTATAGGACAAATTTATCTGCTAGAACCTCAGGAATATTTCTATTTACCATCAGGGAGGTATTGCATCTTGAAGTTACGTTGTTTTTGGGTCTTCCTACTTTAGAATGAGAAGGATTGAGTAATTTTTTTAGGAGAGAAGATATTGAAACAAGACACACATATGTATATTTGTTTTAGCAGCAACGGGGTAACCAGACAGCTTGTATATATAATTTGTCTAATTAAAACAAATTTGGGGCTGGAGGGGTTAGTTCAGTGACAGAGCACTTGCCTAACATACATAAGGCCCTGGATTTGCTCCCCAGTATTACAAAACCCAGTTACCTCATGTCCTGTGCTTCAAACAAACCTGATTTTTGAGAGCTGATTTTATAAACAGAACACCAGACTCAAATGCAATCAACAGAGAATACTGTGTCAGTAACTGAACAGAACATGAACCTATTTCCTTTTTCTCCTTTGTCTCTTTTTTTTTTTTATTGTTGAAGGAGGAAAGAGAAAAAGCAAGAATTTTGATGTAGGTGCTGCCAGTGACTTTGGCTAATGTGACCCAACTGGACACTTTGGCCTTTGATTTTTCTGTGATGTCCGCTCCTCTTCTAGTACTTAGATTTTTGGAAGACTGATAATAAGGCAACATCTTACTAAGCTTTAATACCTACAGTGATTCATAGAGCGGTGTTAGGGTTTTAGATGGGAAGCAGAATTTAAGCAACAAATATGGTAGCCACAGCAGAAGATTGCTTTTCTGACTAGTACATTTATAATTTGGGAAATTGTGAAGAATGTCAACCTCATTGGCTCTTTCCTTTGGATTTTGACGTCCTTCATAAAAATAATAATTTTGTTTTTCTGGTAGATTTGCCAAGCATTCATGCTCACATAGCATATGTGATTATAAACCATTCTGTAGTGTGAATTTCTTTGTCTTTGATTTCATGTTTAATAATATTTGAATGTTATACTCTCTGTGCTGATTTGTTGTTCTCCTCTCTTTTCAGAATGGACTGCTGAATTATGAAGTATTTCAGACTCTGTAGTAGAACACTCCGCCGCTCACTTCTTTATCTCTTACTAGTTATTTAAATTGGACTTTTAATATCCTGCCAGCTGCTCTTCAGACACACATGGTGCATTGTTGCCATTCCCCGGATTGCATCTTTGAAACACAGGCTCTTAGTAACCTTCAGCGAACAAAGAGGCCACCTCCCGGGCTTGGCTACCGGGAGGGAGTCATCCTGACTGCCCTCTAGCTTTTGCTGGATCTGGATTTGAATTCCACCATGGAGCCTCGCATGGAGGCCTGCCTGGCCCAGGTGTTGCAAAAGGATGTGGGGAAACGACTGCAGGTTGGCCAAGAACTTATAGACTATTTCTCAGATAAACAGAAGTCTGCTGACCTTGAGCATGACCAGACCATGTTAGATAAGCTTGTGGATGGACTTGCTACCTCTTGGGTGAACTCTAGCAATTACAAGGTAAGCTGTGTTTTAAGAGGTGCTCTTGAAGGTGGCTGCCTTGGTAGACCAAAATTGATCTTTAAAAAAAAAAAAAATAGTCCTTTGTCAGCCATCAGCATGATTCCAATAAGACACTTACGCAGGTTGTGTCTCTGGGCACTGTTCTGGAGCCAGTATTTTTTGGTGGAGATAAAAAAATCCTTGTTCTTAAGCTCTTTTAGAGAAGGCCAAGTGAAGAGATGAGGAGAGGATTTTATTTTGGGAAGTTTACAAGTATTTGCAGCCTTGAAGTTCAAGTGTATATTGTGTCTTGTAGTGAAGAGATTTTGAGACCTTGGTGAGTAGCCCTTCATGAATAACAAGTCTCTTCACTGCTGTCTCAGGATTCAAACAGGCAGTAGGATGTGAAGCATTTTATGTCCCAGTCACTGTTCTTAATCCACTAGGTATCTGAAAAGAAACAGTCTGATTGTTAAGGACCCTTCTTTGACCTGTGGGTCAAAGTGAAGATTACCTCCTTATTTCTTGGCCCAAATTCCATCACTCAGATGAATTGTGAAAATTAACTATTTTACCAAAGACTGAAGACCACATAGAGCCTAAGGTGCTAAGCAGGTCCTGCTCTTCTTTGAGTGGCCTCTTTTGGATCAAGGTTGGCTAGGAAGTTTGTGTGAGTGCTAAGAGGCATTATAGATAATTTAAAAGGGGTCTTCAATAGAAGTAGAATCTTTTGTGCTTTTGTTTGTCAACTTAGTCTTCTGAGATTAGTTTAGATTTAGAACATGGTTCTTTCAGAATTCCTTCTTTGGTGTTAGTATTCTTTTTTTTTTTTTTGGTGGTCCCGTTGTGGGGCCTGAACTCTGGGCCTGGACACTGTCCCTCAGCTCTTCAGCTCAAGGCTAGCGCTTTACCACTTGAGCCACAGCCCCACGTCTAGCTTTTTTCTTTTTGCTTATGTGGTGCTGAGGAATCGAACCCAGGGCCTCATGCATGCAAGGCAAGTGCTCTACCACTGAGCCACCTTCCCAGCCCCTAGTATAGTATTCTTTTTTTTTTTTTTTTTCCGGTCGTGGGGCCTGAACTCTGGGCCTGGGTGCTGTCCCTCAGCTCTTCAGCTTAAGGCTAGTACTCTACCACTTGAGCCACAGCGCCACTTCCGGTTTTTTTTTCTTTTTGCTTATATGGTGCTGAGGAATCGAACCCAGGGCCTCAGGCATGCAAGGCAAGCGCTCTACCACTGAGCCACCTTCCCAGCTCTAGTATAGTATTCTTATAGTGTAGTATAATACTCTAAATAATTATACAAAGGGATTTTTAATTCAACAAATAATTTTTTTTTGGTGTATATCTGTGCAGGTACTGGGGCTTGAACTCAGGGCCTAGCCACTGTCCTTGAGTGTTTTTGCTCAAGGCTAGCATTCTGCCACTTGAGCCACAGCTCCACTTCCAGCTTTTTGATTGTTCAATTGGAAATAAGAGTTTCACAGATTTTCTGACTGTGATTTGCTTTGAACCATGATCCTCGTATCTCAGCCTCTGTAGCTAGGATTTTAGGCACGAGTTACCAGTGTTCATCTCTCAAGTTTTTAAGTACGAATATGTCTTGATCATTGTTACCCCTTCCATTGTCCTCTCCCACCTTTCTCAATAGCATTCATTAAAACTCAGTCCAATCTAGGAGCGGTGAGGCTTTAAGACCCTAACATTTCACTTATAACTGAATATAACATTTATTCTCCCTGTATTTGAGGCTGAGCTGAGATTCTCTTTCATTCATCTGTTTATTCATTTGGCAGAAGTTAAATGCTTCTTATGTATATGGAACTGCTACTGGCTGGTGGAAGAGTTAGCGATGAGAGTTGATAGAGTCCAGATGTGGTTTTGAAGGACATGAAATCACCTTGTTTGTGTTTCAATTATAGCTTCGCTCCTTTTTCTGTGTGCATATTAAGATGCTTTTGGCTAGAAATAACTGAAAATAGAGTCAGTTGACCCAGACTTACTATGAAGAAATGTGTTATCTCAGGTAAGCCATCATAGTTGAGGCAATTTCTAGTGAAGAAGAGTAGAAGGAAAGTGTTATTCTATATCTGATGTGGAAACCTATCTCAGAAGCTCCTTGCAGACCTTCTGTGTGTTACCATGGCCAGATGACTTCAGTCTTTTGTCTCTATCCAGCATCATTGGAACCTGGAAGGAATGTAAATGATTGCTTTCAACTGTCCTGTTTACCTGTTTGAGAAAGGACCATCTTTCCTTAGTAAGTAAAGCATGTAGTCATATGAAAGGAAGGAGAGGACTCTTGGACAGTTATCAAACTCCTGAACAGCAGGTACAGGATGTGCAGTGATCAAAACACACAGGATTCTGGGGAAAACAGAAGAAAGGAGTAACACTGGACAGAAGAATTTTGAAGATAGAGTCTCTTTTCAGAATAGCATTTGCAGGATTACAAAAGAGTGATTGACTTGACCCTTGGTTGAAGAATTCTTGGTGAAGACAGCTTTGTATGAATTGAAGTCAGAAAGGTGGAGTTTGCTACCAATTTGTTTGGAACCATGGACAGATCAGTTAATTTCTTGGGAGTCCTCAAACTCTTAATATTATGTGACAATACTATTTACAGTTAATGGCTGGGTCTGTGGTTCTAATCTTAAAGAGCTGGGCAGCTCTTGTGTTTTAGGTTCTGTGGACTAAGACCAAGAGCATACCTTATTCTCAAGCTAGAGCCTAGAACCTGGAATGTGGTAAGTACTCAACAAATACTGGATGCATGAGTCAAGCCAGGAACGTAGACTGCTCAGCAAGTATTGCTGGTTGATTGACTGAAATCTGAAATCTTTTAGGCTCCTACCCCCTTTCTTCATCATAGATGAGACTTTCTCATTTGAATATTAGGTACATTTTAGACTATTTGACAATTTTTACATAGCGTACATAGAAGGGAATAGTTTTATATTAACAAAACTTTGAAGCTGGTCATCTAGACCTTTTCTTTTAAATTAGAGGCTAAAAAGAACATCAGAGTATTTTTGTTAGTTCTGTCATTTATTTCTGTTTCTGTCTCTCTCCTCCTATCCCCCTTCTCTGTTAGGCAGATGCTAACTTGAGTCATGCCTCTACCTCCAAAGGAAGAGTTATGTTTTTTTTGGAGAGGGGCAGTATTAGGATTTGAACTTAGGGGCTTGTGCTTGCTAGGCAGGCACTCTACCTCTTGAGCAATAACTCCAGCCCTGAGTATTACTTCTTTGTTTAATAAGGAAGGTAAATGAATGATAAGCAGCCTAGTGTTTTGCTTTTTAGAAATGTTTGGCTGGGGCTTGAATAATTTTACTTTTGAGTATTTCTTGACAAGATAGACAAATCTATATGTGCTGTTTATCTCAGTTTACTAGTAACCATTTGTTCCTTACTTACTAAGTGCCAGGAATTTTTTTAATGTTTTTTTAATATATATTTTTTATTGTAAAGATATTATTCAGAGGGGTTACAGTTACATGATTAAGGTAATGAGTACATTTCCTATTGAGCATTGTTACCTCCTCCTTTGTTTTTCCCCTACCATCCCTTCCCTCCCCACCTCCACAACTCCTCCCTCACCCCCACAATCCTGAAGTTGTAAAGTTGGTTTTCAACATAGTGTCTTGTACATCTCATTGTTACAGTGGGTAAACCTGTATCCTTATTTCAGCATTTTGTTATTTACCTTCCCCTCTCCAAATTAGAAAAATGTATATACAAGATTCAGGGCACCAGAATCAAATACAGTGACAACAGGAGTTATACCATGAAGGAAGAACATACAAAAGAAACAAAAAAAAATCACATAGTACATTATAAGAACATTAAAAGCAACATCAACAAAGATAAAACCTCTTATGTCCTTGTCTTGGGGTTCATTTCGCTTAGCATCATCTTATATGGTCATATGTACATAGCTTTTGACCTTTTCTGCCTGTCCTAGATGTATGGTGTAATGCCCCTGCAGCATAGCTGGTGGTATTCTAATATTAAATATGAGGAGACTGAGGCCCAGGAATATGTGCTAATTTCTACTACTGATTGTGGAACTGAGATTAAATGCAGGTCTCTGATATCCTATCTTGTCTTACATAAGAAGAAGGTTCAGCAAAATTGTTCTCTCTCTCTTTTTTTCTTAAATTCCAGTGTATGTTAACTGTACAAAGTGAAGGTTTTATTGTTACATTTCTATTCATGCATATTATTACTTTGATTATATTCAAACTTTTTCTTAAAGGCCAAAAGAGGTAAATCTATTAAATTTTATGGATTGTCTTAGACTTGCCATAATAGTAAAGTGGTTGGGCCCTTGTCTACAAAAGTAAACACAATATCAGTCATAGGAATGAGCAGGCCTGGCTGTGTCCAGTAGACTTGACTTACAGCAACTTTGGCCTAGCACTGGAATGTTGAACACATTCTATGTACTATATAGGTAAACACTTTCTCTTCAGTGTGGGAACCATTGGTTAGTCAGTTGGAAGAGAAGTAAGCCTTACTATTTGCATATAATTTGGGAATGGAGGGAACATTAGTATAGATTAGCATGTAGTTTGTTTTGAACTCATATATTTCTAGAAAAGCTATTTTATAGCTCTCTTCTCAGGCTCCTTGTGATTTGAATTCTTTTAGCCTATCTGTAATGATCTCATCATGAGTGATTAGTTACTTATGTACTGGTAAGTGGAAATACCATGGGGAGGAGGGGGTCACACTGTGGGGTTGTTGTTCAACCTGTAAGAATTTAAGTTCCATGTTGTCATAGTGACTGTGGCTAGAGACCTGTGTTCTAAAGGACCTCCAGCTATATTTTATCCTTCCTTTGGGATAAGAAGGGATGATCTGTTTTGGCATCTGTCTGGAGGGAATTGGGAGGGGTTTAGGCAGCTAGCATTTCCAGTTATTCTGACAACTTAATTCTGCCTGCTGCGCAGACACACTCAGTCTTACACCCTCATATCCAGTTGGGGCACATGACCTTTGTGAGCTCATTGGAC